TGGCTGGCTGGCTCTGCATACTCTTGCTAAATGGCCCTTTCGCTCACAACGTTGACACGTGGCTTCCTTGAATCTGCAATTCGCTCTTGAATGATTCCTACCACAACCGGTGCATGTGGACTGCCATTCTTCAGTTTTTGTAATTTTCCTGTTACTTTTGAGTCAGCAGACATCTTCTTCTTCATCTGTTGACTCTTCCAGTTTGCTGTGATCTTGTTGGGCTGTGTTGCCACGATGCGTGTTATTTGGACTTTTGTCTTTCTGAATTGTGGCCATTGCTTTGATTAAAGTCTTGGTGGCTCTGGCTTCATCTAGTGCTATCTTCAGGGTGAGGTTGGGCTTTGCTAGTAACCTCTGTTGAAGACTCACATCCCCGACTCCATAGACGAGTCTGTCCAGTAGTAGATCTTCAAGGTCTCTAAATTCACAGTACATGGCAGTCCTCTGCAGCACGGCGATATAATCATTTATTGACTCATCTTTATTTTGGCTCCAGCAGTGGAATTCATGCCGTCGGATAATCTTGGATGGTGCTGGTGCGTAATGTGTTCAGAGTGCATTTTGGATTGTGTCCCATGACATTGTTTGGCCTGCCACTGGAGCAACCAGTGCCTTGGCTGTATCGAAGATTTCAGAGCCACAATAACTCAAGAATAGCGCTCTCTTTCTTTTATTTATAATTAATGCAATAATAAAGAAGAGAGGGAAACATTACAATTGTTTCTAAAGATTGATAAAATATTGAAAAGAAATGTGAAAGATTTATAAGGAAATTTATACCAGTTATTAGAATGAATTTGAATAATTATTTTGCTTATTAATAGTAAATAATTTATAAGATAAAACTGTATGACTATCCAATGGTATGCTTATTAACAGTTAAGTAATAATAAAGGAGGGAAACATTTCAATTGTTCTCAAAGATTGATAGATATTGAAAAGAAACGTCAAAGATTTACAAGGTTCATACCAGTACTAGAATGATTTTGAATAACTATTTTGTTTACTAATGTTTATATATATATATATATATATATATATAGCCCTGGCCAATGCCATCCTCAAACCCAAACTATGGTTAAGATACATCGATGACACATTCGTGATTTGGCCCCATGGACAAGAAAACCTAAACAATTTCCTAACACACCTAAACAGCGCACACCCCAAAATCAAGTTCACCATGGAAACAGAAACAAACAAACAACTACCATTCCTAGATGTACTAATCTACAAAAAAACAGATGGCACACTAGGACA